TGCGCAGGTGGGTGGTAAGCGTTTGGAGGGATGGCATTGCGCGGTTACTGCACTTTTTTCATTGTCTTGTAGAGGTTGCCCTGCCCAGCCTGCACGGTTGACCTAAAAGAGCACAGCGTTCTTTCCCTCCCCCTCTGCTCCTCATCTCTGTGTGTTTCCCACCCTCCATACGCACCATCCCAAGCTGGAAAGCGCCAGAGCTAGCGGACATTCTAGTGAGCGAGCTGCTGGGGTCGATTGGAGAGCGAGTTAGCTCAATGGACGCTCTTCTCCCTTCCACCTCTTGTGTAGCGAGGGTGTTTTTGAGACGTCTCAAAAACGTTTCCACCTCTCCCTATCCCTATCGCCCCCTACTCCACTCGCAGCTGGAAAGCACCTGAGGTAGCGGACATTCTAGTGAGCGAGCTGCTGGGGTCGTTTGGGGACAACGAGTTGACTCAAAGGCACCTTTCCCTCCCCTCTCTCTCCTGTCCCTCCCTGTCCCACACGCTACCACCATCAGCTGGAAAGCGCCAGAGCTAGCGGACATCCTAGTGAGCGAGCTGCTGGGGTCATCTGGGGACAACGAGTTGTCCCTTTCCTGTCCGATCTTCAAGTCAACTGAATCTCCCTCCCTTATTCTCCTCCTCTCCTCTCCCTGTCCCACACGCTATCACCATCAGCTGGAAAGCGCCAGAGTTAGCGGACATTCTAGTGAGCGAGCTGCTGGGGTCGTTCGGAGAAAACGAGTTGGCTCAAAGCCCATTTTCCACTTCCTTTCTCCCCCTTCCCACTGCCCCAACCACTCCCTTAGCTGGAAAGCGCCAGAGCTAGCGGACATTCTAGTGAGCGAGCTGCTGGGGTCGTTTGGAGACAACGAGTTGTTTCCTTCCTGTCCGATCTCCCTCCCCCTTTTCTCCTCCTCTCCTCTCCCTCTCCCACCCTGCGACCATCAGCTGGAAGGCACCGGAGCTAGCGGACATTCTAGTGAGCGAGCTGCTGGGGTCGTTCGGGGACAACGAGTTGTCACCCGAGTGCCTCGACGGGGCACAGCGCTTCCTCAAACCCGACGGCATCTCCATCCCCTCCTCGTGCGTATTGACTGCCTACTGCCTGCCTATCTGAGTAGCATCCATCTATGCTTAGTAGTATGTTTGGTGCTCACTGCCTGTCTCAGTGCTTGACGGGGCTCAGCGTTTCCTCAAACCCGACGGCATCTCCATCCCCTCCTCGTGCGTATTGACTGCCTACTGCCTGCCTATCTGAGTAGCATCCATCTATGCTTAGTAGTATGTTTGGTGCTCACTGCCTGTCTCAGTGCTTGACGGGGCTCAGCGTTTCCTCAAACCCGACGGCATCTCCATCCCCTGACTGCATTTATGAGTAGTTGTATTGTATGCAGGCCTCCCTGCCTCGTGCGTTCCCATCCATCCACACTATGTGCGTTCTGACTGCCTGTCTCAGTATTCCAGCCATCAGCCCCGCCACGTGCACATGTGATCCTGCTTCGTGCCTGCTGCTGTTTCGAGTAGATCGTACTTTCACATGTGACTTTCTGAGACAACTTTTGTTTCTCTCCCTCCTTGATGTCTCCACGTCCCGCTGCTCTGCCCTGCCTCCCCCTGCTCTTCTTTGCTCTGCCTGGCAGGACACGAGCTACGTCGGCGCCCCCCTCATTGCTGCCTCCAAGACCTCACACCGTCCAAGGCCGTGTCTGCAGCCTCCCCTCATTGCTCTCCCCTCCTTTCCTCCTGCCGTGAATCCCTCTGCTCTGCCTGCACCCACCTGCACCCCGCTGCACCCACCTGCACCCCGCTGCACCCACCTGCACCCCGCTGCACCCACCTGCACCGTGTTGCTGTGCTCTCTTGCAGGTACACGAGCTACATCGGCCCCATCACCTCGTCCAAGCTTCACAACGACGTATATTTGCTTGTGCTCACGCCCTGCTGCACCCCTCTGCACCACTCTGCACCCCCTTGCTCTTCTTCGTGATCCCGGCAGGTACACGAGCTACATCGGCCCCATCACCTCGTCCAAGCTGCACAACGACGTATGTTTGCTCGTGCTCTCTCACGCCTGTACCTCCCTGCCGCACCCCTCTGCACCACTCTGCACCCCCTTGCTCTTCTTCTCTGCCTCGCAGGTACACGAGCTACATCGGCCCCATCACCTCGTCCAAGCTGCACAACGACGTACGTTGATGTTTCACTGCAACCATTCTCACTCGCTCCTCCTTTCACTCCTCCTTCCACTCCCTCTCCAACTAACTGTTGCACTCCTTTCACTCCCTCTGACTCCCTCTCTCACTTTCTCGTTCACTCCATTCACACACTCTATCGCTCCCTCCTTCATGCCCTACTCACTTTGAGACAACCTATGGTAGCATACGTCTTCTCACTCTCCCACCCCTTCCTGATTCCCCCAATTGCCTCCTATCCCCCTTCCCCCAGGTGAAAGGCTACAACGATCTAGCTCACTTTGAGACGGCCTATGTGGTGAAGCTGCACAGTGCAGCGCGGCTGACAGAGCCTAAAGAGGTGAGGGGGCGTGCATGGTGCATGGCGCATGGCGCATGGCGCATGGGGCATGGGGCATGGGGCATGGGGCATGGGGCATGGGGCATGGGGCATGGGGCATGGGGCATGGCGCATGGCGCATGGGGCATGGGGCATGGCGCATGGGGCATGGGGCATGGCGCATGGGGCATGGGGCATGGCGCATGGGGCATGGGGCATGGCGCATGGGGCATGGGGCATGGCGCATGGGGCATGGCGCATGGGGCATGGGGCATGGCGCATGGGGCATGGCGCATGGGGCATTGGGCATGGGGCATGGGGCATGGCGAGCATTGGGCATGGGGCATGGGGCATCACACTCTTCACTCACTTTGAGACGGCCTGTGTAGTGAAGCTGCACAGTGCTGCGCGGCTCACAGAGCCCAAGGAGGTGAGAGGGCGTGCGTGGGGCATGGCGCATGAGGCATGGGGCATGAGGCATGCAGCATGGCACATGGTGCATCACGCTCTCACTCACTTTGAGACGGCCTATGTGGGAAGCTGCACAGTGCAGCGCGGCTCACAGAGCCCAAGTAGGTGAGAAGGATGGGTGGGTTAACGAGGGTGCGTGGATGGTGCATGGTGCAAAGCGAATGGTACCCCATCCCCTTATCGGCTCTCCTTGTGGAGAAGGTGCACAGTGCAGCGCGACTCACAGAACCCAAGGAGGTAAGAGGGGTGGGTAGGGGAGATGTGTACGGTGCATGGATCATGGGTGGGTGAGTGGGACAGAGTGCATGGTGCATGCCGCATGCCGCATGGCACATGGCACTGAGAGCGAATCGAGTCCCTTTTTTTCTTCTTCTTTTTTTCTTCTTCTCTCTTTTTTTTTTTCTCTCAATTTTTAGCATGGTTTCAGTCGTACTTCCTCTCCTTCCTTCCCCTCATCTCGCCTCTACAGGTCTTCACGTTCACCCATCCCAACCGCCAAGAACCCATCGACAACACCAGATACAAGCGTTTGCTCTTTGACTTGCCCCCTGATACTGGATCTGCTCTAGTGCATGGTGGGTTTCATTACATACACCCATACTGGGTTTCTTTATATATTCCGATAGGTGGGTTTCTTTTATATTCCCATAGTAAGTTACTTTATATTTAGAATATACCACAGTGGGTTTCTTATGTATTCCCATAGTGGTTCACGTTGTAATATGTTCAATTGCGGGTTTTTCTCTTTGCACAGGGGTTAAGCATGATGGGTTCTGTGATGCGCACACTTGTTGCCTTGGCTCCTGTGCGTGGTTATGAAGACATGGCTCTTGTTGTGCTCCCTCTTCCCATCCTCCCCTACACATGGTCTGCAGGGTTTGGAGGGTACTTTGATGCGGTGCTGTACGGTGACGTGCATCTGGGCATCGAGCCCTCCACAGCCACGCCCTCCATGTTCAGCTGGTGGGTCTTGCTTGGTCTCCTTTCCCCCCTGATACTTACTGAGCCCGTTACCACTGTTTCTGCTGCTCGTCCCCCGTACCCTCCTTTCCCTCATGCATTTGGGGTTCGAGCCCTCAACAGCCACGCCACGCCCTCCATGTTCAGCTGGTGGGTCTTGCTTTGTCTGTTCCCCCCCCCTGATACTTACTGAGCCCGTTACCACTGTTTCTGCTGCTCGTCCCCCGTACCGTTCTCCCCACTGTGCATCTGGGCATCGAGCCCTCCACAGCCACGCCCTCCATCCATGTTCAGCAGGTGGGTCTTGCTAAACTGATAGTGTAACGGGCTCAGCACATAACAGGCATCTGAGCATTGAAACCCTGTTATTTTCTGAGCCCGTTATACTCTTGCTTTTGAGAATTCTCAAAAGCAACACCAACAAGAATTCTCGAAAGCAACACCAACAAGAATTCTCGAAAGCAACACCAACAAGAGCTCTGAAAAGAAACACCAACATAACTGAGCCCGTTACACTGTTTCTGCTGCTTGTCCCCCTTACCCTTATCTCCCCCATGTATCTTGGCATCAAATCCCCCTCCTCTCTCCCTTCCCTCCTCCGCTCTTTTCCCCTCCGCAATCCTCCCCTCCCCCCTTCTCCCCCCTGCGTACCAGGTTCCCCATAATCTTCCCGCTGTGCTTCCAGCAGTGCACTTGTGCTGCTCACTACTCTCCCCTTCCCTTGTTCCTTTCTCACCCGCACTGTGAGAATCCCATAGTTGGGATGAAGGGGTGAACTCAAGAGTTGATTGTATTAAGGAAACATTGGGCTTACATAGGAGAAGGAATAGTGAGGAAACTAGGAGATAAGCTCACAGAATTATTGGCTGGCCAACATTGTTGGCTGCCCAATAATGGTTGGGATGAGCCACCAATTATTGGCGGACCAGTAATTGGTTGGCAAGGGCCACCAAAGTGGCCCCCAATAATTGTGGCATAAGGGGGGTTGGGGTGCCCCAAACCAAAGTGGTTGGGGCGCCTCGAACAAAGTGTACACCCAGAATTGGGTGTAACACTAGCACAACTATGACATCATAGGATATATTCTAACACAACCCCGTAGCATATGAATGTTATAGTGGTGCACAACCCCGGAATGAGGAAGCCGGGGCCGAAGGAGGGGGGGAGAAGGGGGGGAGGGGGGTGCGGCAGCGGAAGCTGCAGGTGAGGGCGCAAGTCAGCCGAAGGTGCGAGGAGACGGCGACGGGAGAGCGGCGCAGCAGAGGAGGCGAGGGCGGCGGAGACGGAAAGGCCAGAGCGGCAACGGGAGGGGCGGCGAAGGGAGACGGCGGCGGCAGCGGGAGGGCTGCGGCGGCGAAGGGGGAACGGCGGCGGCAGCGGGAGGGCTGCGGCGGCGAAGGGGGAACGGCGGCGGCAGCGGGAGGGCTGCGGCGGCGAAGAGGGAACGGCGGCGGCAGCGGGAGGGCTGCGGCGGCGAAGGGGGAACGGCGGCGGCAGCGGGAGGGCTGCGGCGGCGAAGGGGGAACGGCGGCGGCAGCGGGAGGGCTGCGGCGGCGAAGGGGGACGGCGGCGGCAGCGGGAGGGCTGCGGCGGCGAAGGGGGACGGCGGCGGCAGCGGGAGGGCTGCTGCGGCGGAAGGGAAACGTCGGCGGCAGCGGGAGGGCTGCTGCGGCGGAAGGGAAACGGCGGCGGCAGCGGGAGGGCTGCTGCGGCGGAAGGGAAACGGCGGCGGCAGCGGGAGGGCTGCTGCGGCGGAAGGGAAACGGCGGCGGCAGCGGGAGGGCTGCTGCGGCGGAAGGGAAACGGCGGCGGCAGCGGGAGGGCTGCTGCGGCGGAAGGGAAACGGCGGCGGCAGCGGGAGGGCTGCTGCGGCGGAAGGGAAACGGCGGCGGCAGCGGGAGGGCTGCTGCGGCGGAAGGGAAACGGCGGCGGCAGCGGGAGGGCTGCTGCGGCGGAAGGGAAACGGCGGAAGCGAGGGGGAAGGGGGAGGTGGGCTGGATGGCCCGAAGGAGGAGGAAGCGAGGGGGAAGGGGGAGGTGGGCTGGATGGCCCGAAGGAGGAGGAAGCGAGGGGGAAGGGGGAGGTGGGCTGGATGGCCCGAAGGAGGAGGAAGCGAGGGGGAAGGGGGAGGTGGGCTGGATGGCCCGAAGGAGGAGGAAGCGAGGGGGAAGGGGGAGGTGGGCTGGATGGCCCGAAGGAGGAGGAAGCGAGGGGGAAGGGGGAGGTGGGCTGGATGGCCCGAAGGGGGAGGAGGCGAGGGGGAAGGGGGAGGGGGGCTGGATGGCCCGAAGGAGGAGGAGGCGAGGGGGAAGGGGGAGGTGGGCTGGATGGCCCGAAGGAGGAGGAAGCGAGGGGGAAGGGGGAGGTGGGCTGGATGGCCCGAAGGGGGAGGAAGCGAGGAGGAAGGGGGAGGTGGGCTGGATGGCCCGAAGGAGGAGGAAGCGAGGGGGAAGGGGGAGGTGGGCTGGATGGCCCGAAGGAGGAGGAAGCGAGGGGGAAGGGGGAGGTGGGCTGGATGGCCCGAAGGGGGAGGAGGCGAGGGGGAAGGGGGAGGGGGGCTGGATGGCCCGAAGGAGGAGGAAGCGAGGGGGAAGGGGGAGGAGGGCTGGATGGCCCGAAGGAGGAGGAAGCGAGGGGGAAGGGGGAGGTGGGCTGGATGGCCCGAAGGAGGAGGAAGCGAGGGGGAAGGGGGAGGTGGGCTGGATGGCCCGAAGGAGGAGGAAGCGAGGGGGAAGGGGGAGGTGGGCTGGATGGCCCGAAGGAGGAGGAAGCGAGGGGGAAGGGGGAGGGGGGCTGGATGGCCCGAAGGAGGAGGAAGCGAGGGGGAAGGGGGAGGTGGGCTGGATGGCCCGAAGGAGGAGGAAGCGAGGGGGGAGGGGGAGGTGGGCTGGATGGCCCGAAGGAGGAGGAAGCGAGGGGGAAGGGGGAGGTGGGCTGGATGGCCCGAAGGAGGAGGAAGCGAGGGGGAAGGGGGAGGTGGGCTGGATGGCCCGAAGGAGGAGGAAGCGAGGGGGAAGGGGGAGGTGGGCTGGATGGCCCGAAGGAGGAGGAAGCGAGGGGGAAGGGGGAGGTGGGCTGGATGGCCCGAAGGAGGAGGAAGCGAGGGGGAAGGGGGAGGTGGGCTGGATGGCCCGAAGGAGGAGGAAGCGAGGGGGGAGGGGGAGGTGGGCTGGATGGCCCGAAGGAGGAGGAAGCGAGGGGGAAGGGGGAGGTGGGCTGGATGGCCCGAAGGAGGAGGAAGCGAGGGGGAAGGGGGAGGTGGGCTGGATGGCCCGAAGGAGGAGGAAGCGAGGGGGAAGGGGGAGGTGGGCTGGATGGCCCGAAGGAGGAGGAAGCGAGGGGGAAGGGGGAGGTGGGCTGGATGGCCCGAAGGAGGAGGAAGCGAGGGGGAAGGGGGAGGTGGGCTGGATGGCCCGAAGGAGGAGGAAGCGAGGGGGAAGGGGGAGGTGGGCTGGATGGCCCGAAGGAGGAGGAAGCGAGGGGGAAGGGGGAGGTGGGCTGGATGGCCCGAAGGAGGAGGAAGCGAGGGGGAAGGGGGAGGTGGGCTGGATGGCCCGAAGGAGGAGGAAGCGAGGGGGAAGGGGGAGGTGGGCTGGATGGCCCGAAGGAGGAGGAAGCGAGGGGGAAGGGGGAGGTGGGCTGGATGGCCCTTAGGGGGAGGAAGCGAGGGGGAAGGGGGAGGGGGGCTGGATGGCCCGAAGGAGGAAGCGAGGGGGGAATGGGGAGGTGGGCGGAATGGCCCTTAGGGGGAGGAAGCAAGGGGGAAGGGGGAGAAGGGCGGAATGGCCCTTAGGGGGAGGAAGCGAGGGGGAAGGGGGAGGTGGGCTGGATGGCCCGAAGGAGGAGGAAGCGAGGGGGAAGGGGGGGAAGTGGGCTGGATGGCCCGAAGGAGGAGGAAGCGAGGGGGAAGGGGGAGGTGGGCTGGATGGCCCGAAGGAGGAGGAAGCGAGGGGGAAGGGGGAGGTGGGCTGGATGGGCCGAAGGAGGAGGAAGCGAGGGGGAAGGGGGAGGTGGGCTGGATGGCCCGAAGGAGGAGGAAGCGAGGGGGAAGGGGGAGGTGGGCTGGATGGCCCGAAGGAGGAGGAAGCGAGGGGGAAGGGGGAGGTGGGCTGGATGGCCCGAAGGAGGAGGAAGCGAGGGGGAAGGGGGAGGTGGGCTGGATGGCCCTTAGGGGGAGGAAGCGAGGGGGAAGGGGGAGGGGGGCTGGATGGCCCGAAGGAGGAAGCGAGGGGGGAATGGGGAGGTGGGCGGAATGGCCCTTAGGGGGAGGAAGCAAGGGGGAAGGGGGAGAAGGGCGGAATGGCCCTTAGGGGGAGGAAGCGAGGGGGAAGGGGGAGGTGGGCTGGATGGCCCGAAGGAGGAGGAAGCGAGGGGGAAGGGGGGGAAGTGGGCTGGATGGCCCTTGGAAGGGGGGGCGGAAGCGTGGTGACGATGCGAATGAATGCTGTCGGGAGCGGGATTGACGGGCGAAATGCCGTCGGGAGCGGGATTGACGGGCGAAATGCCGTCGGGAGCGGGATTGACGGGCGAAATGCCGTCGGGAGCGGGATTGACGGGCGAAATGCCGTCGGGAGCGGGATTGACGGGCGAAATGCCGTCGGGAGCGGGATTGACGGGCGAAATGCCGTCGGGAGCGGGATTGACGGGCGAAATGCCGTCGGGAGCGGGATTGACGGGCGAAATGCCGTCGGGAGCGGGATTGACGGGCGAAATGCCGTCGGGAGCGGGATTGACGGGCGAAATGCCGTCGGGAGCGGGATTGACGGGCGAAATGCCCTCGGGAGCGGGATTGACGGGCAAAACGCCTTCGGAAGCGGAATCGACGGGCGAAGTGGTAGGCGCGTTCGTCGCGCGGGTCGGCGCGTACAAGCGCCTCAAATGCCACGGGGAAAAGCCTGAGGGAGGAGAGCAGGCTGGTGGGGCAAAGACCATGAAGCCGGCAAGAGGCCGAGGATCTCCTAGGGAGGACGAAGGTGGCGTTAGCCAAAATAGCTCTATACCATGTGAGAATCCCATAGTTGGGATGAAGGGGTGAACTCAAGAGTTGATTGTATTAAGGAAACATTGGGCTTACATAGGAGAAGGAATAGTGAGGAAACTAGGAGATAAGCTCACAGAATTATTGGCTGGCCAACATTGTTGGCTGCCCAATAATGGTTGGGATGAGCCACCAATTATTGGCGGACCAATAATTGGTTGGCAAGGGCCACCAAAGTGGCCCCCAATAATTGTGGCATAAGGGGGGTTGGGGTGCCCCAAACCAAAGTGGTTGGGGCGCCTCGAACAAAGTGTACACCCAGAATTGGGTGTAACACTAGCACAACTATAACATCATAGGATGTATTCTAACACGCACTCCATCCCCATTCACCCCTCCCTCCCCCCTTCAGGTTCCCCATATTCTTCCCGCTGCGCTTCCCCGTGTACGTGCCAGCGGGGGAGAAGCTAGAAGTGCACTTCTGCTGCTCACAGCTCTCCCATTCCCACTTCCCATCCGTTCTTTACCCTCCCTCCCCACCCCCCCCCCTGCACCAGGTTCCCCATATTCTTCCCGCTGCGCTTCCCTGTGTACGTGCCGGCAGGGGAGAAGCTAGAAGTGCACTTCTGGCGATGCGTGGGGCCCACAAAGGTGTGTTGGTTTGGTGCTTGCAGCACAAGTGGCCTGTTGATATGAACCTTACGACATAAGAGGTGGTGATACCAAGGTGGTGCTTCCACGGTGGTATAGCATGCCTGTTGAGGCGCCTCCTAAAACTTGCTTCCACACCCTGGTATCATGGTGGTGGTATCATGGTGGTGGTCTCATGGTGGTGGTATAATATGCCTGTGGAGGCGCGTGAAAAATGCCTGTTGAGCCGCCTCAATAATGCTACCACACCATGGTATCATGGTGGTGGGGTGGTATAATATGCCTGTCTTTCTTGTAACATGGTGACACCGCACCGCACCACACCGCAGTGTTGGTTCCTCTATCAGGTGTTGTTCACATCTTGGATCTTGGGTTGGTTCTGCTGAGATGATTCTGATTGTTCTGTTTCTCTAATGGTTTTTCATCATGTGCTGGCCCGTGAATCATGTGATCTCAACGCGTGTGTAGCCTGACACCAGTAAGGCTCACTCAACAGTCCTCTCTGACGTTCCATTCCCCTCACTTTCTCTCTCTCTTGTCCCCTCCATCTCCCCCTTCCCCTGCACCTCCCCTGCTCTCCCTCTGTCCCCTGTTTTGCCCTGCCTCTGTGTTTCTGGGGTTTTATCGCCTTCCCTTGTAATACGGAACAGGTGTGGTACGAATGGGCAGTCACCGCACCTTCCATGTCGCCCGTTCACAACCCTAGCGGCCGCTCGTACTGGGTTGGGCTGTAAATTTAACCACTTAATTTTGCCAATGTTCCTGCTCTCTTATGGACTGTTTTGAGGTGCGTACTCTCCATTGAAGGTGTTTCCGGCCATAGCTGAGTGCAAATCTCTGTTGTGCACAATGCTGTGGATTCTCAAACGAGGTTATGATAAAATTCATGTATGCACAATTTTCCTAGGATAAAAGTCGGTGTAGGAAGCACTTTCTTGCAAGGTAGAAGATGAAGCTCTTATTGCGAGAACATTCTTTTGCGACACAGCAGTCTGCCGCACCGTTTGCGAACCGAACGGTGTCGCTTCAGATCAGAGGCAAGTGGGCGAAAAATATGGCGCGGCTACCGCACCCCAACGGAAATCTGTTACTGTATGTTCAATGTTCAAGGAGTTGACTAGCCGTGTCGCAAATGTGAACAAGTGCGTTCCAGCAATTGCGTCGCGACTCGCCCATTGGAGATTGAGCAGTTGCCTGCGCCTGCCGTGGGACCCGAGACGAGGTACACGTACTGCCATGGTGCTGTATCGTCAAGCATGAGAGGATACGTCCACCGTAGTTAATTCTCCTGGCAAAGCCCTCCAGCGGTTCGTCTGTCCAAGCATCGAAGTGCTTCGTTTTCTTGAGCCAGGAAGCGACGCTTTGCATTCCTGGCCATGAGTTGCTATCAGGGTCCCAAGCGGATCCAACGAGGAAGAAACTTGGGCAGCGCTGGTTTAGCAGCCTCCAATGTGCGGGCCCACGCTCTTTGAGACACACTGAACCTTGTGAGATATAGTCAACAACGATATCAGAAAACTTTCTGCAAGAATACTCACTCACGCTTCATGGACGAGATCGTTCTTTTTCAGAAGAACGCAAACAGGCAAAAACAAGTGCAAAACGTATACTACACAAAACACCCATTTTATTAGGCAATCACAGCCCACCTAGTCAGAAACAATGCGTAAAAACCTGCAGCAGTACGTGAAGCGATTTCTGTTTACCGCCTCAGAGCATTACGTATAACGCTTAAAATGCAGTAGGGTCACTTCTGGTGTCACTTCACCGTGAGGGCCCCGTCCGTCTCATTCTCGCTTCGCTTCATTAGTGGGCGATGGTTATGACATCCAGTCCCTTCGTCCCTGCGCCGCCGCGCTCCGCCGCAGCCACTTTCGAAATCCTAATATTCTCGCTGCTTCCTGAGTCTTACAAATACCAGCTATACATACACAATCGTTGTTAAGAAAAAGGCAGCGTTGTGAAACCTGGAATTGAGAAACGCTGTACTCTTCATTGCTTCTTTCCTCGTCCGCCCCCCACCCTTGCTTCCCGTTTCCGCAGTCGAGTTTTCCCTTTCCGTTTCCTGCTACTTGTAAGGCCAGACGTCCTCTCTCCCATCATGGCACTCGTCGATTATGTCTGTATTAGTAGCACTTTCCGACAAAGCCCCTCTCCATTGGATGCTCAGGCCTTAGATGCAGCCGAAGCGCCACCTGATGTTCGATCGTCTGACAGCGCTGCTGCTGCTGGCGCTGGCGGGGAATTCAACTCCGCGCCAATCTCCGACTCGGTGAATGTTAGGCTTCCCCCCGAACCGCGCCGATTTTCGACGGACGAGTCGTCCGCCATCACCGGCACGAACACCAGCGAGTTCAAGTCCTCCGCCGAGCGCAAGTTCAGGTCCTCCGCGCCCCTTACTCTCCGCCGATGCGGGGGAAGCGCGCGCGGATCTTCTTTCGGTTTCCTCTTGGCCGCGTCCAGCGCCTTCCGCACGGCCGCTCGGTGCAGGCGGACAAACGCGGGATGCGGGCGAAGCATTCCCGCGTGGTGCGCCTTGATCACACAGTCACTCCCATCATCCGCGCCGGATTTTCCGCCTGTCTCGCTGCCACCGACGGCGTCAGCGGCGGAGCCGGCGGCGGTTTCGGCGCTACTGGCGATGTTGCTCGTGATCATGTTCTCTGATCGATCCGCGCAGGGAACCACATTATGCACGCGGATACGCGGGGCCATGATGACATCTTGAGTTTTTTCGAAGCGAATGGAATAGACGTGCGGGATGATGAACAGCAGGAGCGCGATGATGCATCGTACGGCTGTGGCTGCAGGAGCGGGTGCGGAGTCGCGTCCGTGACGCCCGCTACGGTAGATCAATGTCGATATCATGTCGCGCCGAGCCAAACCCAGGTCAAAGTGGTTTTGCGATGACAGCGTTTCTCGCCGGATGAGTGCGAACCGGGTAACCACGCTGACGAACTTATCTTGGAAGTGAGTCAACCTTGTTCAGGGTAACAGCTATACCTTATCATTTTGACAGCATCGGTCCACGCAGGAGAAAACTATACCGCGTGTCGTGTCTTCAGACGTGGCGAGGAAGCGAAAGAAACTTTCGTCTTGAATGTGACCGCCGGCAGGAACGCCGCAGTGTCTTTCGTCGCGGAAGCAGAGATTCTTCTGAGAGGAGAAGGATGCTTCTAAAAAAAGAACGAGAGATTCTTATTCGATGGTGGGAGAGATTCTTCACCGACAACTCCTAGAAGGAGAAGGAGAAGCACAGTGTGCTGCCAGGATAAGCACAGTGTGCTGTAGAAGAACAAGAAATTCTTATCATGGTGACGTCTCGTGCGTCAGACGCGAGTCGCGGCGAAACAGCAAGCTCGTCGAAGTCTCAACGTTCCAGGCAGTTTCTGGCTGCAAGGGCGATCGTTTCAGCACGACCGCCTCGAGACGTACGCTGGCGCCGCCGGTAAAGATTCCTCGCTCCCTGCACTTATCGAATGCCCACCTCACTATGCGACACTAATGTTTTGCATACAGTACAACTTCCCATGTTCTTCGGTTTGCTCCTAAGAGTCTGGACGTCTCTCCTCATGTTTTATGGAACACACCTCGTTTGACTCCTTGACTCCATAACCCCATCTGAACTGCTTGACTAATAATCTGCTCTGCAGCACTCACCTAGTGGCTGTGATTCGGCAATGGCGGGCGGTAAGAAACATCAGTGGAGGCTTGGCGGGGCTTGCTTGATTTGGCGACAAGAACGAACAAGAGGAGGAAGTTTGTTTATTCCATCCTCGAAACCGAGTGGAACCCACCCGAATCTCATACAGTTGTACCGAACCGCAGGTCCTGGTTGAGGTCGAAGTCAAGATCTGGGAGGATCCAGTCCCACCGATCTGGTAGGGGCCATTCACGCGGCAGAGAGGTTTTCAACATGTTTCAAGGCACCATTCCTCGAGTGGGTTTCAGTCATTTCAAGAAGCGCTGAGGACCACGGCTCTGTTCGAAATGGGGTGTTTCACTAGTTTTTTAGCAGAACGGAACGAATTTGTGAGGTGCGGATCACGGGGAACTCCCTGGCGAAAGCACGGCCTATGGCTTTTCTGGAAAGTGGTCGTCGTTGTCGGCACTTAGAGCGACTGACACCTCGATCGGCGAATTTTCGCGATGCGACGCGACAATCTTCACCACATAGCGGACCACTTTTCCCCATCGGGACTCGTTATAGGGCGACTTAATTGATACAATACAAACTTGATCTCAATGCCGACTAAAACTCAAAAGTTCGCCCCAACACTTGGCTGCCACCTTACTCGATTTTCTTATGATGTTCCCCAACAAAAGCTCAGTATGCTGTCTTTGTTACCACCTCTCATTCTGCTGCAATATGGATTGTCGCGCAAAACCCAACTGCATCAAGCCATTTAAACGGATGCTCCTGATTTCTTTTTCTTTACGTGAGATGCCCGAAAAACACTCCCGTTTATTTCCCCTGGCTGCGTTAGATTGACTCCAGCAGATGCTCCATCCTCACTTGCATCACCACCTGCCCGCCCGCTCTTCTCCTCTTCCTCTTGTTTGCCATGTTTCTGTGGTACCCACTATTTCCCCTGGCTGCGTTGAATAGACTCCAGCAGATGCTCCATCCTCACTTTCATAACCACCTGCCCGCTCTTCGTCCTCTTCCTCATCTGCCCTCTCAACTCCCTCCTCCTCCTCTCCACCTCCTCCCTCTTCCTCATCCCCTCCTCAATCTCCCTCCTCTTCGCCTCCCTCACCGCTGCCTGCCTTGCAGCCTCCTCCTCTCGCTTCTTCCATATCCTCTCCAACCGATTCAACGGCCTTTGCCTCACACCCTCTCCTCCTCTCCCAACCTCAGCACCCCTCGCATTTCCACCCGCCACCCCTCTCTCTCCTCCCCTCCCGCCTCCCCGTTCCCAGCCTCGGCCCCTCCCTTTGCTCACACCGCCTCTCTCCCACTCCTGCGCGCCCTCCTCCCGTTTTGATCCCAATCCCAGGCCATCAGCCCTATGGTCCTCTTCCCCTGCTCCCTCCTCCTCTTTCTCCCCATGGTCACTTGAATCATCCTCTTGACCTGCTTCCTCTTCCTCCTCCTCTTTCTCCTCTTCTCCATCCTCTCCCTCTACTTCCTCTTCCTCCTCCTCTTCCTCCTCTTCCCCTTCCCCCTCTTCTCCCTCACCTTCCGTCCTCCCATCACCCTCCACCGAACTGCTAATACGGTCGGTCCCTGACGCTTTCCTCTCCCGCCCAATCATCTTTCGGTATTTCTGCACAGTTCTCGCGTCGCTTAGCACCTTTCGCCGCTTCCCTGCCAACAAGAGTGGGGATAGCGTACAGGGTTCAGGTTTTTCACAGCATTGAACTATCAAGCACCATTCTACAGTTGTGCACAACTATCTTTCAGTACTTCTGCACAGTTCTCGCATCGTTGAACACCTTTCGCCATTTCCCTGCCGACAAGAGCGGATAGGGTACAAAGTTCAGGGCTTTTGAGTTGAAAAATTCCGTGCGCGCTTTATGAAACGCCTCAATGGCCAACAAGGGGGGACAGGGTACAGGGTTCAAGGTTTACGGGTTAAAAGTCCGAGCACGCCAAGGAATAAGAATGGTTGAGACAAAGGACAGGAAGCACAACACTTTGTTGGTTTGTTGAATGCTCCGTGAAAGCCATGTAAGTACTTGACACTGCAAATTCAGGTCGACCAAGTCTTGTGCGTGGGGTGCAGGGCAAGGGGGCACGGAAGTAGGGGAAGGGGACAGGGGAAGGGGACAGGGGATGCGGGGAAGTTGAATGCTTCGAGGAAGTCATGTAAGTACTTGAAATGGCAATTTCAGGCCGACCAAGTCGTGTGCCTTAACCAGAATTGAGAAGGGGGTGCGGGGGAAGGGGCGGGGAAACCGGGGGAAGAGGGCAGGGGAAGCGGGGGAAGGGGGCGGGGGAAGGGGACAGGGAAGTGGGGGAAGAGGACAAGGGATGCGGGGGGAAGGGGGAAGAAGCGGAGGCGAGGACCGGGAAGAGGGAAGGGCGGCGGGGGAATGAAACGCACGGAGCTCATTGGCGGAAAGATGCGTCCGCTGCGGCGCCATGTATCTCTTCCGCCCGCGGAACCCCTTCCGCACTCCCCCGTCCGCGCGCGGAACATATTTCTCCAACACGCCTAGTCGCAACACTCCGCCGCCTCCCCTTCCTCTTCCGCCTCCCCCCCTTCCGCTACCCCCTCGCCCCCTCGCGCTTCCGCCTCTTCCCCCTCCGCCTCCGCCCCGCACGGCTGAAGGCGGGGGGAGGGGCTTCTTCATGCCTGCGCCGACGGCGGGTTGCTAAGGCTAAAGTTTCTTCTGGTTTGCTGCTACTCCACTATGAGCTTCAAAACTAACGACCTGACGCAGCTGCTCCGTCGAAGAAAAGCGAGGATGTATCTTATGGAATTCGCAAGAATCGTAAGTGCGTGCGGGAGGCATTCACATCCTTGCTAAAAATCACGTCCCCACGACAGAGGATAATAATTCCATCAAATGGAAACTGTAGTAACCGCCTCCGAAATCTTTCTGGCGCCTAGAAATATACCTTAAATGTCATCGGGGGTGACCGTTCTAAAAGAAACGTTTCGCGTTCAGTTTGGAAGTCACGAGTCTTCGACGTCCTTCGAAGTCCCGCAAATGCAAGTGTTGTAATCGCGGAGGTGGTTCTTCTTCAAGGAACAAACGCTAGCCCCTGTAGCTGCTGTTGACACTGCCGCTTTTGTTCGGCTGCCCCTGAAGAAATTATTAGTACCTTACGGCATGCCACGTGTTCGACGGCACTATCTAGTTTCGCGGGTTTAGCTGATGTAGCAAATGAATTCTGATGGTTCTGGGCCGAGGGTTTGCCGAATGGGTGGGAGGTTGGGGGTTTTGGCGAAGGGAAGCGAGGGAACTTTCAGATATGCGTTACAGAAAGTCACGCTATATTGAAGAGAGAACCCAGAAGGTAATTCTAAAGAATGAATAACTCCGAGCAGAGAAGCAGACGGTCAAGATGTAATCTGAATCTAAACCAGAAACTGGAACACAAATCACACCAACACGATCACCCTTCCCAACGACCAGACACACAACAATCACAGCCCCAATGACTTCCACCAGCCTCAAGGACACCACTTTCAGTCAGCCATCACCACTGGAAACTCCTGCTCCTGGCAATCACTGCAGCAAGCCACCCTACACAGCTGTAACAACAGCGCCCATTGCCAGCTCCAAGCAGCTGCGCCAAGTGACAGCAGCAGTTGGCAGCGGCGGTGATGGCAGTGACAGTTACCAGCAGCAGCACATCAGTTGCCACGCTCTCAGGCACTTGCTTTACTAGCCTCCTGAAAATGGCACAGCTAGTAGTTGGGAGGCGGGGGTGGCTGCCAGGCAGGAGCAGGGCGAGGCAAGAGGCCAGGCGAGTACGGCAGAGGGGCCGGGGCTGCACAGGCAAGCAGGGCAGGACAGGGGGGAGAAAGGAAACAGAGGGGCAGCAATGAGGAATGGTATAGGAACTGATGTGTGAGGGTTACGCAGCCACAGGAGCAGGATGTGGCAGGAGGCCAGGCTAGTACGGGGGAGGAGCCGGGGCTGCACAGGCAAGCAGGGCAAGACAAAGAAGGGTGTGTGACAGGGTGGGGGTGATCGGCGGAGAGTGAAAAGGGCAGATGTGGATGGAAGGACCAGCAGCCGCACCAACAGCAGCGCCACCAGCAGTGGCAGCAGCAGCAGCAGCAGCAGTGGCAGCAACAGTGCAACAGCGGCAGCAACAGTGCAACAGTGGCAGCAGCAGTGGCACGAGCAACAGCGACAAGGGCAGTAAGAAGAGCAGCATCAGAGCAGCAACAGCAGCAGCAATGTTACCTCTGGCAGGAGCAGGGGCAGCAGGCACGGGCACGAAAGCAGTCACCCAGTCTGGCATCCCTTCCCCCGCCTCCAGCGCCGCAGCAATGGGATCATGCGCACCAATCTTACCTCCGCCAGAAGCAGGAGGAGCAATCTCACCTCCAGCACTGCACCTATCTCACCTTCATCAGGAGCAACTGTCTCACCTCCAGCGGGAGCAGGAGCAGCAGGTATGGGCGCAGTGACCCAGTCCGGCATCCCTCCCCCTGCCTCCAGCGCTGCAGCAATCGGGTCATATGCACCGTCCCCCGCCGCTCCTCCCGCTCCTCCCGCTCCTCCCGCTCCTCCCGCTGCTCCTCCCCCCAAGGTCGCAGCAGCTGCGAAGGGGTCGTACGAGGAGGGGGGTGCAGAAGAGGCGGTGAGCGGTGCAGCAGAGGAAGAGGAGACGGGGGGAGCAGAGGAGGGAGCAAGCGAGTATGGGTTGTAAGGAGGAGGAGCAGCAGGGGAGGAGGAAGGAGCAGTTGTGGGCGGCATAGGAGCAGGAGGAGAAGGGCCAGGACCAGCAGGGGCAGCACCAGCACCACTACCACCACCACCACCACCACCACCACCACCACCACCAGCAGCAGCGCCACCAGCAGGAGGGGCATTAGCAGCAGAGCCAGCAGGGGCAGTGGCGCCACCAGCTGAATACGGGTCATATGGGGGAGGCTGGTAACCCATGTAACCAGTAGATGGGGGGTAACTCGGAGCAGGTGAGTAGGTGGGCGCGGCAGCAGGAGCAGCAGTGGGAGGAGCATACTGTCCCTGCGCTTGCTGCTGCTGTGGCGGCTGCTGCTGGGGCGGCGGGTTGTACGGCTGCTGCTGCCCATACGCCGGCTGCTGCGGCTGCTGCTGCTGCGGCTGCTGCTGCTGTGGCTGCTCTTGCCCATATGGTGCCCCATAAGGCCCCGGCTGCGGAGGAGGAGGGTACTGGCCGTAAGGGGGAGGCTGGCCATAGGGGGGCGGCTGCTGCCCATACGGCTGACTGTATCCCCCATAGCCCTCCGGTGGCGCACCAGAGTACCCCTGCGGCGGAGCCACACCCCCTTCTCCCCCTCCTGGCCCTCCTGCTGCACCTCCTTCCGCCCCACGCCCATCCTTCTCGTCCCTCCTCCTGTGCTCCCTGTCCCGATCACGCTCCCTCTCCCTGTCTCTATCCCTATCCCTATCCCTATCCCTATCCCGATCCCTGTCTCTGTCTCTGTCCCTGTCATCGCGCCTGTCCCGGTAATCCCGGTCATCCCTCCTGTCCCGGTCACGCCTGTCCCTGTCCCTCTCCCGCTCCCTCTCCCGCTCTCGGTCCCTGTGCCTATCCCGCTCCCTCTCCCTCTCCCTATCCTTGCTCCGTTCCTTCTCCCTCTCCTTCTCCCTCTCCCGCTCCTTCTCCCGCTCCTTCTCCCTCTCCTTCTGCCTCTCCTCCCGCTCCTTCTCCCTCTCCTTACTCTCCTTACTCATAGCAGCAGCAGCGAGCCTCGCCTGAGCAGCCTTCGCAGCAGCAGCAGCTAGCGCAGCAGCAGTAGACGACTTACCACTCCCTCCTCCCTTCCCATCCCCCTCACCATCCTTCCCCTCCTCCTTCACACCCCCCTCAGCCTTCGTCTGCCCGTCATTCTGCCCGTCCTGCTGCCCGCCCGCTACCTGCCCCGCCTCACCTTCTTTTGCCACCTGGGACGTCAGAGCGGCAGACGGCACATACGTCCGAATCTTGCCCTCCAAAGCACCACCACCACCACCAGAAGCAGCAGAAGCAGCCGAAGCACCATCCCCACCAGCACCACCAGCAGCAGCGGCAGCGGCAGCAGCAGCGGCAGCGGCAGCAGCAGCAGCAGCAGCTTCTTTCTCCTTCTCCTGCTGCTTCTTCCTAGCCGCCTCCCGCTCTTTTTCCGCCTGAAACGCTGAGGCCGCCGCCGCCGCCACGGATTCAGCAAACGACTTCTTCCTCTTCTCCCCCTGCTGCTTCTCCTCCTGCGTCTCCTCCTTCACTCCCTTCCCCTGCCCCTCCTTGCCCACTCCCTCAGCCGTCCCTTCGTTTTTTGTCTCACTCGCAGATGCATCACCAGCACCAGCAGCAGCGGCAGTACCAGCAGCAGCAGCGGCTGCGGCAGCAGCTTCGCGTTTAGTCGCGGCGGTGGCAGCAGCGACAGCCATAGCAGCAGGGGCGCTACCAGCGGCCTCCAGCTCTTCAGCAGAGCACTGCTTGTACTCCCCCGTGGTAACATCGTAACGGAACCACTGGCGGGAGTCCGAGTGGTAGTAGAGGTCTGAGCGGGGAGGAGGGGAAAAGGGGAGAAAGAGGCAGAGAGAGAGAGAGAGAGAGAGAGAGAGAGAGAGAGAGAGAGAGAGAGAGAGAGAGAGAGAGAGAGAGAGAGAGAGAGAGAGAGAGAGAGAGAGAGAGAGAGAGTTCAGAGACAGAGACAGCACCTCTGCAATACACTGCTTGTACTCCCCGGTGGTGATATCATAACGGGAGCGGGGAGAAGGAAGGGGGGAGAATGGCACAGCGGGAGAGAGGATCTGAGAGATTAGCTCCTCTACAGAGCGTTGCTTGTACTCCCCCGTGGTGACGCCGTATTGGAACCCACCCCGTGGTGACGCCGTATTGGAAACACCCCCGTGGTGACGCCGTATTGGAAACACCGGCGAGAGTCCGAGTGCTAGAGAGAAGCGGCCTAATAAAAAACTAGTGATAATACCCCGGCAAAAGGCCTTCCGTCTGTCAAATCACAACTGACGAACTGCCATCCAACTAATATAGGCGGCCTAATCTGCACCTGAGGCGCTGTCATAATAGAAGCTGGTGGAGCTATCGTAGTAATACCCCGACGCCTCGTCCCACACGAAGCAGCACATCCCTCACGGCATCACACACACGGTCCACCAGCAACCACTTCACACACCACACCTGAGGCGCTGTCATAATAGAAGCTGGTGGAGCTGTCATAGTAATACCCCGACGCCTCGTCCCACACGAAACCACTGCCCGTCTGCGCCTGCTGCTCGCCCCCTGCTGCCCCCTCGTCATACTCCTTGGGCATCCACCCTGACGCCTCCATCTGTAACGTGAGTGGGGAGATGGTAAAGAGGAAACCCAGAAGACAGAGGTTGTGACAGGAACACAGTAAGTGCACAACAGCCGCCGCCTCATCATACTCCTTGGGCATCCACCCAGACGCCTCCATCTGAAAAAGGGGGTAGTAGGTCAGTGTGCATTGCACAGACAACAGAGGGCGTGAAGGTTGCAAGCATGGCTGCTGCTGCCGCCGTCGTACCCCTTGGGAATCCGCCGTGATGCCTCCACGTGGAAAGAAGTGTGAACAAGGCAAACGAGGGCAAGGGTTGACCAGCCCTTGCTTGCACACACAAGGCGCGCATACGCCACCCGCACCACCTGGACGTCACGTGTATAAGGTGAATTTTTGAAACGTCTCAAAAATTTGCATACGCCACCTGCATACGCCACCCGCATACGCCACCCGCATACGCCACCCGCGTCACCTGGACGTCAGCATCGTCAGCAGCAGCGCCGCCGCCAGCGGCAGCGGCGTAGGCAGCGGTGGCAGCATCAGCAAGGGGCGTGGAGGGCACACAGTGGCTGGGGCCGCGCGCATACGCCACTCGCATGACCGGGCCTCCCTTTAAAACATACTTCACCCAAACCACGCCCAAAACTACAGACCTGGGCCATCACAGCAGAACACCTGAACACAGAACCTAAACCACCAAATCCCAACACAAACCTGAGCCATGACGTCAGTATCCTCAGCAGCGCCACCGCCAGCGACAGCGGCATAGGCAGCGGTGGCAGCGTCAGCAAGAGGCGTGGAGGGCACTCCGTGGATGGGGCCGCGCGCATACGCCACTCGCATGACCGGGCCTCCCTTGAAGAGTCGCTTGTTGTGACACGTGAGCATGGCGCGTGTTGCTTGATCCACCTGTTATTAGCCGGGGGGTGGGGGAGGAGGGAAGGGAAGAGGACGAGGGAAAGAGGGGGGGTGGATGGGGCGGAGAGGGAATGGGAGAAGGATGAGGCCGCGCGCATACACCACTCGCATGACCGGCCCTCCCTTAAAGAGCCGCTTGTTGTGACATGTGAGCATGGCGCGCGTTGCTTAATCCACCTGGTGGCAGAGGAAGGAGGAAGTGGAAAGGAAGGGAAGACGAGGGAGGAACAGGCAAGGCATCCAGGGTAATGGGGAGGACAAAGGGATGGAACGAGAATGAGGCAAGGAAGGGCATACGCCACTCGCCAGTCGCTTGTTGTGACACGTGAGCATGGCACGTGTTGCTTGATCCACCTGGTATCATGGTTGGGAGGACGTGGGAGGAGGGGCATGTGCTGTGACACATGAGGATGGCGCATGTGCCTTGATCCACCTGGGAGGAGGGAATGTAGGATGAGGAGAAACAGATAGGCACAGCATGTAACAGCGAATGTAGAGATGGAATAATGGAATGGAAAACGGGAAAACGAGAGGCAAGAGGCGGGGGCGGGGGGGATAGGGGGGCCTGCTGGGAGGCCAAGGGGAGAAAAGACATGTAGAGGACGTTTGCACGCTCAGCTCAAAAAGCAGCACGGCAACTCACACGGGCAAGGGAGGGAAGGGAATTCGCCTAAGAGAAAGGTGACAATGACAACACACCGAGGCGAGGCAAGGGTGGGGAAAAGCAACTCACGGAGCCAAGGGTCACAAAGGCGAATCCACGTGACTTGAGTGTGATCTTGTCGCGCATCATACGCACGTCCTGGTGCGGGGCGAGAGGTAGACAGGGGCCAGATAGACAGATGTAGGAGTAGAGAGAGGTGGGCAGAGAGGGAGGAGAGGGGGGGGCAGAGAGGGGAGGAGAGAGGGGGCGGGAGGGGGGGAGGAGGGGTGAGGGAGGGAAGGGAGAAAGGGGGTAGAGATAAAGAGGCGCAGACCATTTGAGAAAGAACAGGAGGTCCAAAATAGAGAGCGGAAGGAACAACTCAATGCAGACAGGTTAGATCTTATTAGCACACAGCACAAACATTTCCCAACTCCAACCACCCTTGACACCTCACACAACCCCACGTCCGTGCGATGTGACCCACCCAGCTTTCTCTAACTTCATCGAACTTCTCAATACACAGTCACATTTATTCCACTACAGCTACTGAAGCCACTTACAGTCACAGAGCCGTGCTGGAAAAAGTCCTGCCTCAGGCTCTCCTCATGCAACTGTCGTCCAGTCCCCTCAACGTGATCTTTGAGTCAACTCGAGAGACATTATAGCCACTTACACTCCACAATAACTCCACTCTAAAGCACCTCACAGTCGCTATTGTCACTTACAGTCACGGAGCCGTGCTGAGAGAACTCCTGCCGCAGGCTCTCCTCGTGCACGCTGTCGTCCAGCCCCCTCACTATAAGCACGTTCGACGCATCTGGACCCATGGTCACAGCAACCGCCGCCGCCCTCCTGTCTCCTCGCCCGCCCCACTCGTCTCCTCCGCCCCTGCCTCCCCTCTCCTCGCCCCTGTCAGCCACAGTCACGGGGTTGGCAGGCCTGCGGGTCACACACTGGTCAAGGGAAAGGAGAGAGCACGCAGCAGCAGGAGGAAAGAAAAAAAGGTTGAGTGAAACACCATGTGAGATGGTTGGCTCCTCTCTCCTCGCCTCTGTCAGCCACAGTGACGGGATTGGCAGGCCTGCGGGTGACACACTGGTCAAGGGAAAGGAGAGAGCACGCAGCAGCAGGAGGAAAGAAAAAAAGGTTGAGTGAAACACCATGTGAGATGGTTGGCTCCTCTCTCCTCGCCCCTGTCAGCCACAGTGACGGGATTGGCAGGCCTGCGGGTGACACACTGGTCAAGGGAAAGGAGAGAGCACGCATCAGCAGGAGGAAAGAAAAAAGGTTGAGTGAAACACCATGTGAGATGGTTGGCTCCTCTCTCCTCGCCTCTGTCAGCCACAGTGACGGGATTGGCAGGCCTGCGGGTCACACACTGTTCAAGGGAAAGTAGAGCACGCAGCAATAGGAGGAAAAAGAGAAACAGGTTGAGTGGCACATAAGCACGTTTGACGCATTGAGACCCGTGACCACAACAACCGCTCCCCTCCCGCCTCCTCACCCCCTGTACTCGCCTCCTCCTCCGCCTCGCTCCCCATAGTCGCCTCCCCCTGCATCCCCTATGTCGGCAACAGTGACGGGATTGGCAGGCCTGCGGGTCACACAGTGCTTGAGGCAAGGGAAAGCAGGCGACAAGACAAGAGAGGAGAGAAAAAGAAGGTTAACAAAAACCATGCAAGTTAGCGGAGGCTTGAAGAGGGGAGGGGAGAGGAAAACGAAGGGAAGAAGTTATTTTACCGCATGGGCGGCACACCCAGTCGAGCGGCTTCCCTTTGGGGTTCATTAACGGGATTCTAAAGGCACACAGAAAGCAAAGCACCCACCTTGAAGCACTCGGAGCGGCGCGCAAAGTTATTGACACCGCAGGAGGGGCAGACCCAGTCGAGGGGCTTCCCCGAGCTGCTGTCCGCAAGCGCGCCCCCGTCCTCCGCCCCTTGCAGTGGCTTGCTGTTAGGCGTTGAGAGAGAGAAGGGAAGAGACAGGCGACGAGGGCGGAGAGAGGGAGGCGAAGAGGAAGAGGCGAGGGAGAAGAGGACGGAGGAGGCACAGTAGAACAGGCAGCAAGACAAGGAGCAGGCGAGAGATGTGGGAAGGGGGGCGGGAGGGAGGGCGGGAGGGGAGGGAAGGAAGGAAGGAGCAGAAGAAAAATAACGAGTGAGACATGGGCGCGTGGAGGTGCATGCCAAGTCCTGAGAGCAGCAGAGCAGGAGAGGAGACGAATGGCAGCAATGGCTGGGCGAGCATTGAGCGGATGTGACAATCTGAGAGGATGTAGCGCGGGTGAATGTGGGAGGGAATTGGACAACGTTTTTTTTGCTCCAACAACCGAGTAAAGCTCCGAACCCCACAATCCGGTCTCCACAAGCCCTCCCTTGCACAGAAAGTGCCTTGACGCCCCTCCATAAAGCCTCCAAACCCTCCAAAAGTCTTCAAAAGCCTCTTGCCTCCCGAGTTGTGCGTCTCGCACTGGATCGCACCCCTAACAAGATGGTACGGTTTTTTGAAAAAACACCGGCGGATCTCCAAACTCGCTCCAAACGCGCTCCAAACTCGCTCCAAACTCGCCAACGGCACGAAACGGCGTTCAGACTTCTTCCTGTTGTGTGCCAACGCCCGCGCCGCAATCTTGGCACGCGGCGGTGCCAAACGAACAGATGTGAAGAAAACTACTGAAGAACAAGTGAGAGCAGTCTGATATGCTCACAGCAACCCAGCCCAGCCAGACCAGTATGTTGTTATTAAGAGTGCTCTAATCTCCACCTGTAGTGGAACAAGAGCAAGCGGTCATCCATCTTTAGCTCCTTGCCCCTTGCACCCTCCACCAGCGCCTTCGCCGCTTCCTGGGAAGAGGAGGGCCGTTAAGGTATGAACGGGGACGGGGGCGAGAGGGGGAGGGGGCGAGAGGGGGAGTGGGCGGGAGGGAAGGGGAGGAAAAAAAGGACGGAGTGGATAAGAAAGGATAACCGGGACGGGGGGTGACAAAGAACGGTCGCACTTGAGCAACGAGAGAGGGAGCAAGGGTGAGGTGGAGAGTGATGAGAAAGGGGAGGCGAGGTTGGGGTGCCGCGAAACACGGGTGGAGGAAAGGAGGGAGCGCAAACGAGACCGTGGAAGTGCCATGGGGCAGAGGAATAGCGGGGAGAGGACAGGGGCGTGCGGGAACGCAGGGACGGAAGGAGAGGGAGGGGGAGAGAGGGTGGGAGGAGGGAGGAGAGGGGAGTGAGAGGTGCACAAATGGTGAAGCGCGGAGCCAGAGCAGGTGTCCAGAGGACCACGACAAAGGGAGGCAGGGGGGGATTAGTATCAAGATGGCCAACTCCAACAGAGGCACATTGAGGGGGTCAACTGCGGTAGAGTGGATGGGCGAGACGAATGAGGGAAATAAGGGCCACGGAGGCGAATACAGCCAGAGAAAGCAGGAACCGCACTGAACCGCTCTGTGATGACTGGCAAGTCCTGCTTTGAGTCTGGGGTTGGAAGGGGAGGAAGTGAGATATCGCAGAACCGCTCCCTAGTTCAGAATAACAAACGGAGAATTTGAGCTTGCAAAGGCGGGAACGAACTGGAACGAGCAGGAACGAGTGGGAACGAGCAGCGGGAGAACAATAGTGGAAAGACAAACAATGCGTCTACACTACAGAGATAAGCGTGAGAGGCAAGGAGGCAGCGATAACGCACCACGGTCTCAAGGTCAACGAAACAGAAGCCCTTGTTGAACCCCGTGGCGCGCTCCTTGATCACGCGCACCTCCTTCAATGGACCCCACTCGCCCTGCCATTGCAACAAAACACAGGCACAGGCAATGCAGAGGGAACGGGAATACACGAGAACACGTGTTAATTAGCAAACGCCCTTGTTGAGAACCGTGGCTCGCTCCTTGATCACGTGCACCTTCTTTAACGGGCCCCACTCGCCCTGCCCTTGCATCCGGATTCAAGCACACAGGGAATGCAAAGGGCACGGGAATACAAGAGCACACGTCTTGGTCAACAGACATAAACAAAAACCCTTGTTGAGCCCCGTGGCCCACTCCTTGATCACGCGCACCTCCTTCAACGGGCCCCACTCGCCCTGCCATCACATCAGGGAATGCCGACAGATCGGGAACACACATCTAAATTATCTGGCAATGCCGCATATTGCAAGCGGGAACTACATACTGACTATAATTTGCACATGAGATCGCTCTTGCCGGCAGCGCGAAAAAGTCCGCCTCCACAGCCCACAGTGCAATCCCGCGGATGAGCACCGTGCTCGTCGGCTGCTTCCTAAGACGGCACATGCATGCACGGCAGAAGTACTTACCAGCAGCGCGAAGATATCTGCCTCCACAGCCCACGGCGCAATGCCCATTCACTAGTCGACTAAACAATCGTCTAAGCAGGTCTTACCAGCAGCGCGAAGATATCTGCCTCCACAGCCCACGGCGCGATGCCGCGGATGAGCACTGTGCTCGTCGGCTGCTCCGGACTGACCTCCCTCCCGCGCCCGCGCCACCCGCCGAACCTCCCCCGCCCGTACGGCGACCGCGACCGCGACCCAGATCTCCCCCGCCTGCGTCGCACAGGCGACCGCGACCGCGATCGCGACCGTCGCCTGCGAATTCTGGGCGACGGGCTCCTGCGCGTGGGCGACGCGGACCCAGGCTTCCTCTCCCGGACTGGGGACCTGGATCGGCGGCGGATCGGAGGGGAGCGGGACAAAGACCTCCCCCTCCCCCGGCGGAAGTACGGGGAGCGCGAGCGCGAGCGGGAGCGCCGGCGCTTCTCTCCCGCGCGGTCCTCCGCCTTCTTGTCCTTGTCCCCCTCCGCGGGTACCCCTTCCGCCCGCGCCGCTTCCGCCTGCTTCGCGGCAGCCATAGCCAGGGCCATCGCGAGTCCCGGGTTGACGGCGCCCAGCTTCGCGCTGTTCGCGGCGGCGGCCAGTAACGCGGCCTTCGTTACAGCGGCAGACGCGGCGTTCGACCCGCCGATCGCCGCAACCTGCGCCGCGAGAATCGGGTTACTCGCCAGCAGCGGGTTCTTCGCTGCAGCGGCGGCCGCTGCAATCGCCGCCGCGGCAGAGCTCGTGCCGCCGGATCCCGTCGATCCGGTGATCGCGGCGGAGACTGCCGCGGCGCGCTGCTGCGCCGCCGCCAGTTGCGGGTTAGTCGCCGCGAGAAGCGCAGAAACGGCGGATCTGGCAGCAAGGATCTGAGACATGGCTGACGTGGCAGCTCCGGTCGTAGCATCCGCACCGGCGGCCTTACCCATGACCACCTCCACCTTCGGCTTCGATTTGCGCGGCGACTCGTCTTCATAGATCGAGCTAGGTGCTGGCTTCAGCGGGTCGCTGTATAAGCTCTGCGGCGGCGGGTAGCGATTCAGCGACGGCTTCGACGAACCATCGCGATCCCGATCACGGTCGCGATCACGGTCGCGATCCCGGTCCCGGTCGCGGTCCCGGTCACGGTCGCGACCGCGTTCGTCCCTGTCTCTCCCTCTCTCCTCCTCCGGCTGCTGCTGCTGACGTTGCTTCCACGGGGCTGCCGCGGACGGATCGGGTCGCCCCTCAGGAGGCCGCATGCCACCTGGCATCTGCTGAGCTGGCGGATACTGCCCCTGAGGTGGCGGCTGTCCCTGCGCCTGCCACGGCGGCGGGGCGTACCCCGACGGCGGCTGTTGCGGCGGGAGATGCGGCGGCGGCTGCTGATGCTGCTGCGGCGGGGGGTACCCGGGTGCCGGCCCGCCATACGCGGGTGGGTGCGGGCTGTAGCTCGTCTGGGGAGGAGGCACGCCGGCGTACGGTGCACCGCCGGCGTAAGGCTGGTACTGCGGCGGCGGCGCGTTATAAGGCTGTGGCGGCGGCTCGTTATAAGAAGCCGGTGGGGGACCTCCGCCGTAGGGGGGAGGCGGACCCTGGCTGTACGGCGGAGCCTGCGGCGGGCCCTGGCTATAAGGAGGATAAGATGGCTGTTGCTGCTGCTGCTGCTGCTGCGGCGGCGGTTGCTGCTGCTGCGGAGGAGGTTGTTGCTGCTGCGGAGGTGGGTAGTGCTGTGAAGGCGGCGGCTGATTGTATCGCTGATCCATGGGTGGTGGGTTGGGTGACTGGAACGGGAGAAACGGAGGAACACAACGAGAAAAAAGGTAAATTGTGAGGAACTATAGCGCCTGACGAATTAGCCGGCAAAAAGAGGCCTCACGCAACCTAACTTCAAACGGGCGGAAAGAGGCTTCGCGCAACTAGAATCTAGAGAATATGAAAGCGGAAAAGAAGTATTAGTGAACATCTATTAGCGTCTCCACCAGGAAGCACAGATAAGCGGGAATCAGATCCGAGGGAGTATTATGGAGGAAACACGAGAGAACGACTAGCCACTAATAAACATGACCGCCAGCGCCTAATATAAAACGCGCAAGGCATTTTTTAAACATGAAGCACCTTCTAAACAGTTTGAAATGAGTGGAGAGAAAGCAGAGCAGGGAACACTTACATTGGGATCCCAACCGGCCGGACCAGGAGGATAGCCACGCCGATCCATGGCGCCTAAGGACGATGCGCTCACCAAATCTCGATTTTCTGACAAAACTAGTCTAGGGTTTCAACAAAAGTAGACCCTCCAACTACCGTGGGAGAGATTTTGTAAGATTGGGGACGATGAGGGCAACAACCAGAGATGGGCATGGCCGAGACTTGGCTCGGGTGGGGTTGCATATCCTTCGTGAATGACAAGAAGAATTTCGAGTTCGCGATTATTCACTTCCACAAACAGATACGCTAGTATCGATATATGCAATCCCACAAACAGATGTTTTAAATCTTGATTTTTACTATTGAAAGCATCAACAAGTATTCCCACAGGTCTACCTCTGTTCCTTCTACGGTATATGAAGGCTCCACATCACTGTTCACTCATGGGTGGAAGCCTCTTTTCCCTTTTTATACTCCGACTGAAGAAACAAGCATTAAATAATGCTGCCGACATTTTCCAACGAGCATCTTAGATATACATTTGAAAATAACAATAAAAATCGTCGAAGTACCACAACACTATTCCTTTCTTTCTGAGTGTAAGGATTTTTTTGTATTCCTCACTGCGTTCATCAACAGCGCGTACAGCAGCAGCCGTTGTTCGCCCGTTACTGCTAACGGGGCTTCGCCAACATTCGCGCGCACTGTTTCACCAAATCATGCACCGCTGGCCCGGCCGTGTCCGCCTACGCTTCGAGACTAGCCCAAACCTCTGTCAAACTATATGTGCTGCATATTGTCTAGGCTGTAGTGGGGTAGCCCATATGGGGTACAACCCAATTAGGGTTTACTACTTGTACTCCTGCATCCTGCTAGTTCAACCATTCCTGCTGCTAGATTCTGACATGGTTTCAGAGCACTAAGGTCCGTAGGACCGTTTTTTTTTCGGGCCCACCTACCGCTGCGGTTACCACGCTACCCCACGTACCTGTCTGCCTGCCTGCCTTGCCTTGCCTTGCCTTGTGACGTGCTGCACTACGTGCGCCGTCCAGCAGCCCTAGTGCTGCCTCCTGCTGCCCTAGGCCAGCGCGCTGCCCCTGCAGGCCCGTAAGGCCCGCGCGCCGCCCCTGGAGACCCGTCAGGCCCGCGAACAGCCCCTACAGGCCCGTCAGGCCCCCTGCTGCCGCGCGCTGCCGCAACGAGCCGTGTGCAGCCCGCTGCTGCCGCGCGCTGCCCGCACCAAGCCCGTACAGCCCGCACCGAGCCGCGCGCAGCCCGCTGCAGCCGCGCGCAGCCCGCACCGAGCCCACGCAGCCCGTGCTGAGCCGCGCGCAGCCCGCTGCAGCCGCGCGCAGCCCGCACCGAGCCGCGCGCAGCCCGCTGCAACCGCGCGCAGCCCGCACCGAGCCGCGCGCAGCCCGCGCCGAGCCCACGCAGCCCGCGTCGAGCCGCGCGCGGCCTGCTACGGCCTCGCGAGGCCCGCGCGCGGCCCGCAGCAGCCCGCGCCGAGCCGCGCGGCCTCCTACTGCCTCGCGCGGCCCGCAGCAGCCCGCGCCGAGCCGCGCGCGGCCCGCTACTGCCTAGCGCGGCCGCGCGCGGCCTGCAGCAGCTCAGCGTGCTGTCAGCGCAGCCCGCGCCGAGCCGCGCGCGGCCCTCTGCCTCGGCCCCGACCTGCCGCTGATGCGGCCCCGCCCTGCAGCTGCCACGGCCCCGACCTGCCGCTGATGCGGCCCCGCCCTGCAGCTGCCACGGCCCCGACCTGCCGCTGACGCGGCCCCACCCTGCAACTGCCGCTGAAGCGGCCCCGCCCTGCAGCTGCTTCGGCCCTGCTCTGCAGCCGGTGTTGCGGCCCCGACGTCGCCGCTGTCGTGCGCCTACTCGGCCGCCGCCCGTCGAGCGCCGGCCCTGCTCGCCCGGTGAGCGCCTGCTCTCCCAGCCTTTGGTGAGCGCCTGCCTGCCTGCCTGCCGGCCTGCCTGTCTGCCTGCCTGCCTGCCTGCCGGCCTGGCTGCCTGCCTGCCTGCCGGCCTGCCTGCCTGCCTGCCTGCCTGCCTGTCTGCCTGCCTGCCTGCCTGCCTGCCTGCCTGTCTGCCTGCCTGTCTGCCTGCCTGCCTGCCTGCCGGCCTGTCTGCCTGCCTGCCTGCCGCGCCTGCCCTGCCCGAGCTGCTGCGGCTACTACTGCAACTAGGAGGTGACCAGATGCAGCTCCAGCGACGTTCACGCGAGTCTCTCACGCCCCAACAGCTTAGTGAGTGGTACGCTACTTGGGGTTGTCGCGGTAGCTCGTAGCTGTCGCTCTGGAGCCGGTCAGTTGGGGGCGTCTGGCAGTGGCCAGCTGCAGCTGCAGGGGCGTCCACGCGAGACACTTACGCTCCAGCAGCTCCATGAGTGGTACGCTCAGTGTAGCAGGTCTACGCGTACAGTTCGCTGCCCGTACGTCATTCGCACAGGTGCTAGGACTGGTCAGCCTTGTGGGACGCTTGGTCACACACAGTCCCGCTGCTTCGCCCGCCTGAGGCTGAGCTCCCCACCTGGCTGGAGCTGCATGGACAGAGGGTAGATATCTTTGCGCTTGACTATGATGCTATTCTCACTGCCATGTATGCATTGCCTACTAGTGCTGACCGTGCCTGTTACCTGTGCGTACCGCCTGACCCTGGTATAGAGCCTGCTGCTCTCGGTGCTGGTGAGGTTGCTGCTCTAGGTGCTAGTGCGTCTCCTGCTCTAGGTGCTGGTGAGGCTGCTGCTCTCGGTGCTAGTACGTCTCCTGCTCCAGGTGCTGGTGAGTCTGCTCTCTCTGGTACTGCGCCCGCAGCGGTCTCGCACACCTTCACCCTTGACTCAGGAGCTTCCCGCTCCTTCTTTCGCGACTGCACCACACTCACGCCGCTTAGTCGGCCAGTTCCAGTCTCCCTGGCGGACCCCTCTGGGGGTCCCGTCCTTGCCCACTACTCCACGGTTCTGCCGTGTCCGGCCGCCCCGTCCGGCTCGCTGTCAGGTCTTTACCTCCCCTCGTTCTCTACGAACTTGGTGAGTGGAGCTGACCTCCAGGATCGGGGGGTTGACCAGTTCACTCCTGCGAGTCAGCGAGTGACTCACTATACGTGTGCTCGGACGGGCCGGCACTTGGCCACGTTCACCCGTGCACCTGGCTCGAGTCTGTACACACTGACCGCTGAGTCCCCTCAGGTAGCTGCGTCTGCGTCTACGTCTGGTCAGCTGGCGGCCCCCTGCGAGTGTCGCGCTTTGTCGCACGACACTCTCCTGTGGCACCACCGCCTTGGTCACCCCTCCCTGCCTCGCCTTCGTAGCATGCACTCTCGCTCCCTGGTCTCTGGTCTTCCCAGGTCTCTGCCTGCCCTCCCTCCCTCGCCTGCGCCGCCCTGCATTCCCTGTGTCGAGGGGCGGCAGCGCGCCGCTCCTCACTCCTCCTCGTTCCCTCCCACAGAGGCTCCCCTGCAGACTCTCCACCTGGACGTGTGGGGCCCAGCCCGCGTCCGTGGACAGGGCCACGAGCGGTACTTCCTGCTGGTCGTCGACGACTACACGCGTTACACCACGGTCTTCCCCTTGCGCAGCAAGGGGGACGTCCCTGATGTTTTGATCCCCTGGATCCGCGCTGTTCGTCTCCAGCTCCGCGAGCGGTTCCGGCGGGACTTTTCTGTCCTGCGTCTGCACTCTGACAGAGGTGGTGAGTTCACCTCAGACCTCTTGGCAGCCTACTGTGCGGAGCACGGCATTACCCAGTCGTTCACGCTTCCGGCCTCTCCGCAGCAGAATGGGGTTGCTGAGCGCCGCATTGGCTTAGTCATGGAGGTCGCTCGTACCTCCATGATCCATGCCGCTGCCCCCCATTTTCTTTGGCCGTTTGCGGTCCGGTACGCCGCGCATCAGCTCAACCTCTGGCCCCGTGTCTCCTTGCCGGAGACCTCGCCCACACTGCTGTGGACGGGGAAGGTTGGCGATGCGTCGCGTTTCCGGGTCTGGGGTGCTCGTGCCTTTGTCCGCGATACCACCGCGGACAAGCTCTCCGCCCGCGCTGTTCCCTGTGTCTTCCTTGGCTTTGTCCCTGACGCGCCTGGTTGGCAGTTTTACCACCCCACCTCGCGCCGTGTCTTTGCGTCTCAGGACGTCACGTTCGACGAGTCGGTTCCCTTTTACCGTCTCTTCCCCTACCGCACTGCCCCGCTCCCCCCCCCGCCGCTCTTTCTCGCTCCAGGTGCTCCCCAGGTAGACCCCCTCCCCGCTCCAGGTCCTGCTCCTTCAGGTGTTTCTCAGGTAGACCCTCCTCCCTTGACTGCGCCGGTTGAGGTCACTGGTGACTCAGGTCCTACTGAGGGTGGTCCTGCTCGGGGTGCTACTTCTGGGGGTGCTGAGCCTGGGGGTGCGGAGCCTGGGGGTGCTGAGCCTGGGGGTACTGAGCCTGAGGGTGCGGAGCTTGAGGGTGTGGAGCCTGGTGGTGCTGAGCCTGAGTGTGAGGGGTCTGGGGGTGCTGAGCTTGGCGGTACTGACGCGGGAGGTTCTGGAGCTACTGAGGGTGCTGGCGCTGGAGGTTCGGGAGCTGCTGGAGGGCCTGGTACTGGTGGCGCTGGAGCTGGAGGTTCTGGAGCTGCTGAGGGTGCTCGCGCTGGAGGTTCTGGAGCCGCTGGAGGTACTGGCGCTGTGGGTGCTCACACCGGAGGTTCTGGGGCAGTTGGGGGTGCGAGCGCTGGGGGTTCTGAGTCTGCTGTTGCGCGGTCTCCTTGGAGTAGCCGCCTTCGTCCACGTGTGCCTCTCACCCCACAGCAGCTGCAGGACTGGTACGGTCGCCGTCAGGGTCGCGCTGCTGGAGCCCGGGGCTCTGCTGCTGGAGGTACTTCTGCTGACGTCCCTGGAGCTAGGAGTGGTGCTGGTCCTTTGTCTACTGGAGGTGCTGGAGTCGCTGGCTCCGAAGGTGCTCGTACTGGAGGTACTGGAGCTGCTGGGGCTGGGGGTGCTGCGTCTGGAGGTGCTGCTGCTGGAGACACTGAGGCTGGAGACCCTCGGACTGGAGGTGCTGGTTCTGGGGGTGCTACTGCTGGAGACACTGAGGT